TATATATATATAGTTGAAAGACACATAATAACTTACATTATACGGGCTACTTGCCACGCTAACAATACTCTACCTAAAATACAATACTTTAACTTACATCGACTAACTTTAAATGTGGGTTGCTTACGCTATTGACAATACAAGATGTTTGGTTACGTTTGTAAGTTTGTTTGGGTGGAACCATATACCGAGAAACCTAGTGCCTGCTAGAATGTGTTTATGCACACTCACATTAGGTAGTGTAATTTCTTCGCATTTTGTCCCAGTCCACCATTGCGGAATACGGGTATTTCCCGCCACCCCTCCGTTCGGTGCTCCCTGGTAAGCCATCCAGTCGACGGTTGCGAACTCTCTTGTTTGTCGGTCATTTCTTCCTGCTATTGTCACGCAAACCTCAAAGAAAAAAGTTTTTTAATTGTGACAACAAAATTATTCATGATGTGCTTCTCGCTTGCTGGAGGTGGCTGAATGTATATGAACTCAGGACGCATTTAATTCTTAATATACTACTGAAAAAATTACTTCATTGTGATTGGCTAAGAGCAGGCCAATTTATCGTTAATTTTTAATTTGCACTGCAGTGCAAATTAACGCGCGCGCTTTCGGGATTTTCCCAGTCATGTAATAAATGAGTAATCGGATGAAGGCTCGAGCAATTAAAGATTTACACTACCAGTGATATTTGAAAATTCTTTCTAATTGCACTTGCCTAAAGGTTCGTGCAATTTTGAGAGAATTGTGAATCCTTAACTACACTCACATTCACACGATTACCTCTACTTATTATATGACTGAAAAACACTATTTCATTGTCATGATTGTGACTGGCTGAGAGCAGGCCAATTTATCCTTAATTTGTAATTTGCACTGCAGTGCTAATTAACGCGCGTGCCTTCATAATTTTCTCAGTCATGATAAATGAGCCTTGGGGCTCGTGCAATTTTGGAGAATTTTCAAAATCACTCTAAGTGTAAATCCTATACGAATTTGCCAGACGTGCAACCATGAAAGGTTAAGCATTTCGATATCTCAATGATGGTTACTTGTTCTCGTTTACCTTAAAGTTCTGGTAGTTTACATTTTCCGCCCAGGAGACAGTAGCCTCATGCACGTAATTACTCCTGGTTGAGTTCCAGTGATTAGTGGTGATCTGCACGTGCACTTCCTTGTCCGGGTAGAATGAAAACGGCGGGAAAATCACGATTTCGCAGGCCGTCTCAGCAGAGGAGACATCTCGTTTTAATGTCACTCGTCCTCTCCGTACAGGAAAACCTGAAGAATCAGAAAGACGCTGTAAATCAAATATGATGTATACACATATCACAATGCAGTAGATTTACTTATTGATCCGATCCCGAAATTTTCAGATAATCATCTCTTCACGACACCAATTCATTACCAAACATAAATAAATTTTGAAATAAAACTGCAAGTTCCACCAGATACTCAACAGTTATTCCACGGGCCAATTTCTATATGAAGTGAGAAATAACGCCTAGTTTGTCATAAGCATCTCGTATCTCACCAGGGAAATGGAGTAATTGCTTTATTAAATTCTTCAATCGACCAAGCGTTGTGAACATTTCACTGTGATTTAAACGAAGTGATAGTATGAAGAGGCGGCAAATGTTTTCACATTGGTATGATGGATAATAACCGAGATTCAGTGGGCCAATCAAATAGCTGGAAATGCATTGTTACCGAAGTTCCGTGCCTTTGCAACTAAATCAACCAAGCAATTGATCTTTTTAAGTTATAATCTGGAAAATATTTTAAGGGCGGAAGTTAAACAAATTATGTCTAACCGGTACAACTTCCTGGATGATACAGAGTGTGGTTGCTCTTCAGCCTACACATCTCCAGTTCAAAAATGCACTTGTTTTTGAAGGTGGTTGAGTTGGATGAGCACACTTGCTCCTCGTATGAAGGGCAGTCTTCCTCACAGACACAACGGGCGTCAAATGCGTCGAACGCCTTGCAGACAGCAAAGTACTCACAAGTCACGTTTATGCACGGGTCAAGTTCTGTGGAATAAAGTCAATTGTACAAACGTCAAAAAACTAATAATCGTAATAATAATAATAATAATAATAATATTTTTTTAATAAAAAAAAAGAGGAGTGTTTATTGTGACAAAAAACTAGAGCTAAGCTTTACAAAATGCTATAATATTTACATAATTTGAATGCCTGACTGGATACCTTGATGAGATCCTTGGAATGCGAGCCAATTGATGACAGATGTACCCCCTGAACCACTTCCGGCTTCACGTGCACAGACCTCAAAACCTGTTGTGGAAACCGACTTAACCCACAGTGCTGCTGGGTCGTGGATTTTGACGTAGGTGTTGCCATGACTAAGGGAAGCGAACACTCTGACGTCACTGCCCTGAAACTGAGTTTTGAAAGAGACGGACTGGCAACCATGGTTGTTTTGGGACGTGTCAGTAATGTTGACTTTTCCAGCTTGAAATACAATCGCTAGTAAGGAAATGTAAGAAATAAAGTCAATAGATTTACGGGATTAGGGAATATACTGCACTGAAGTCTGAAACCAAATTTGCGCTTCCAACGGAGTCGAAAGTCGCCTGCAAACCAGCTGTTTCGTTTACCCTAGAACAAGATCTCCCTAAGATGTCTCTCACATAAACAAAGAAAATGGTTTCGCCTTTTATTTATTTATTATTATTATTATTATTAATTTTTTTTTGGAGATTGACCAGTGACGATCGGAACATAATATACGGTTTCGACCGTAGAAACCCTATACTCTTGGTTGATTTTGTGTAACGCAGTACCTCATGACAGAATCGGCACTTAAACTTCAAACTTCACTTTAACGGTGAGAAGGTTGACTCGCGCTGATTTCAAATGTTGAAAATTATTATAGCAGTGTTAGGTCTTAACATTTATTCCTTTTGGAGATTATGGAGAAAGAAGGATGATGAAATCATGATTTCGACACTATTAGGTTTTCAGTATTGTTTTCGTTTTGTAATGACTGCAATTTGCATTGAGTTAATTGTGAAACCAAACGAAAAAGCCAAAAAAGCCACAACGGGCTTCCTTTCTGCAAAATTTAAATTGTATATATGATATTCTGCTGCACTTCCATTCATTTTAAATACATTCGAGATAAATGTAGAACTCACCATTAGAGGAATGCAGTTGTAGCGAAAACAGCTGAAAAGCAAAGAGAGTAAATATCTGCTTTGCTTCCATTCTTCTTTGTGGATTGCAACCCTCTTGGAACGCCTATCGATCAGGGAGTCCAATTTGGAATGGTGGTTAAGGTGTTTGCACCTTTAATTTATACCCGGCAAACGGAATGAGGAAGATATCAGATGATACTTCATTTGGGTAAGAGAGGTTAAGGGTGAAGTACTTATGGGAATCATTTCAGCTCTCTGGAGCTAACTCCTTAGTTACAATAAACAACACAGATGGACTTGATTGATTTGATTACTTCGCTTTCCAATGCTTCCTTTCTTTTCTTTTCTTTCTTTCTTTTTTGTTGTTGTTGTTGTTGTTGTTTCTTTTTTTTAATCTTATCTTTCTTTCATGCCGGCAGAAATGGTATTTTTAGACCTAATTTTTGCGAAGAATTCTTCAGTACGATTGTCTGTATTTTGTTATGCTTATTTATGTATATGTAAATGATACTGAGGATCAATCAATGCTCGGAATAAGGAAGAATGACAAGTCGGCAGTTATCAAGTAGTCGGCTCAAACGGAGTGAGGAAGATATCAGATGATGCTTCATTTGGGTAAGAGAGGTTAAGGGTGAAGTACTTATGGGAAATCGTTTCAGCTCCTCGGAGCTAGCTCCTTAGTTAAAATAAACAACACAGATGTCTTTGATTGATTTTATTACTTCGCTTTCCAATGCTTACTTCTTGCAGACGTTCTATTTTTTTTATTTTTTATTTTTTATTTTTGTTTTTTGGTTTCTTTTTTTTAATCTTATCTTTCTTTCATGCCGGTAGAAACTGTGTTTTTAGACCTAATTTTTACGATCAGGAATTCTTCAGTAGGATTGTCTGTTTGTATTTTGTTATGCTTATTTTTATATATAAAAAAAGGATACTGAGGATCAATCAATGCTCGGAATAAGGAAGAATAACAAGTCGGCAATTATCAAGTAGTCGGCTCAAACGAAAAAGGGCACTGTCATCATTGTCGAATGTAGCGTGATTAGATCAAACAATTCATTAACCAGTATTGATCCTGACGCATATTCGCCTTTCTGTTTCAAATCTCCAGCCTTTGCCTTTGCACTAAAAATCTTCCTACGGGGGCAGTTAGAAATGTATGCATTAATTTCAAGGCTCTTGGAAAGTCAGGCAGAGTTTTAAAAAGTGTTGACGGGCCTGCACGACTCCTGCAGGTCGCAATGAAAAGAATGCATAGCCTTTATAGCTTAGCCTTGACAAGAATGTCCTTTAGGGATTTTCCTTTGCGATATGATAGAAGGGGCGGCTCTTTGAAGATATTTCTTGGTTGTGCTTGGTTCTGTATCAAGTGCCATTTCCCTATGAGTTGGAAAGTATAGATTTCTAAAACCTTCCAGGAGACATCAGTGCAATCTGCAAGCGCTCCTGCGAGGTTAAAAGGCGAACGTAATACGATGAGTATAATACTTATCCTAAGATTACCTGAATTTTTAAATCAATTGATATTCTCATGAAAGATTTCTTTACGAAAGGTTTTAAAGTAAATATTTAGCGCTGTGCGCGAGTAGCTTTACATGTAAACCTTACAATAAAATCCCCAGCTTTGCCATTGTTTATCGTTCCTACTTGCGGTATCCTTGTTTGGATCCTAAGTATTGATTACGAGAATACCGCTTCGTTGCTGCAGCAACCGCCACCTTGAAAGCCCAGGTGGATGTGCCGTGATGTTATCTGAGGAGAAAATGTTCTGATTTACTTATTCGTTACAAACATCGTTTTAGTTAACTAGTTAATGGGCAAGGGATCCAGCACGGCATTGCTGATCTATTCTTAGGAGATCGCAGCTTAAAAGGGACATTTTTGATACTTTATAGTAAAATGCTATTCTGAGGAACAATTTACCATCAGTTTTTTTTTTTTTAAAAAAAGGTTCGCGTTTTGGGTTCGGACAATTCTACACCCATAATCCTTCTTTTTTGACTACCACTCTGCTCTGAGACAACTGCACTGAAAGTTGAGCCAATTCGCAATTCAGTAAGATAAAGTCAAATATTTTCATTTTTATATATGATATTTGTTGTTTACTATTTCGAACGTTTTTGTTTTTTGAATTTTAAACATATGTGCAAGAGTATTGTATTGTGTGTCATCTGTCTCTCAATGTTTCGAAAGGAGGAAATGACTTCTGAACTACACTATCAGTTACGTGTTAACTCCATTTAGACTCCCAAAACTTCCCAATTAAAGCTGGCGCGGCTTCTAGAAGTCATGTCACACACGCGTGATGCGTTTCAGAGTGACATGCTTCTTACTTCTGGAAACTATAAGTTGAGACGTTTGCTAAAACAAGGTCAAAGAGTAATGTAATACTTAATTTAGAGATATGCTTTAAGCTGTTGGAATCTAGCCGGGACGTTTGCTCAAATGGGGTCAAAGATAAGAAGCAATGCCGGAAGATATAAGCAATCTACGTTAGGTTTACTTCCCGCTACTTGAAACTTTTAGAAAAAGAAAATTTCAAGAAAATTTCTCCCCAACTCGGACTACCTATTAGAAAAGTGGGTCTGAGCACATTACGGTTGAGGAAGAGTCGTTTACACAAAACACAAAATGTTTATTCGTGATTTATATCGGAACCATGCCAACAACTCTCTTTCGTTTAAATGTATGGGCCTCAAATAATTATATCTTCATGTTAGCTCTGACGGGGTCGAGGAAGGTGTTATTTGTTTCCGAATTTACTCTACAGTTACCTGACGACGATATCTTCAGAAAACAAACGCTTGCTCAAGCGGGGTCAGGGAGGGAATATCCTGAACAAACATGGTGGGTTCATATTTGGGCAATAGAAACTAATTCTCAAGATCTACATTCCACATCCTTAAGCTGTACTACATGTATGCAGACAAACTGTGCATGAAGATATCTGGAGGCAAACGCTCACTTAATCACAGTGGTTGTGGCCAGAATTTGCAATCTGATGCGCTGATATGTATTCTTTTCGTAGCTACCCGCCACCTTAGCTGTAGTTATTATTAATAATAAATGACAATTAATATTATATCTAGTAGTTGACTCGTTTTTTAACCGATGGCTCAAATTTGAGGTCTGTAAAATTTACTGATAACCGAGAATTGTCAGAATTTTTGAATGGGTTTCAGTCAAACGCGGACTCAGGGTCGGGTTTCTTTCTTTCATGTCTGCTTTTTCTTTTTCTATCTATTTGCCAGGCATGGTTTAAAAATTTAGTCCCTAACGTGAAGGACTGTGTAAAGATTATTCCCGTTGCTTTTAACAGCGTTTAATTTGTTGCCCTGGTTTGATTACACCCTTTGCATAAATGGCGCCTTAATTTGAGTAACAATGCTTTATACATCCTCAGCCTCGTACTTAAGTTTCCTTGCAGACAGGACTTTTCACATGAATTCGAGGTTTAGGATGTATCAGTATTGTTATTCAAATATCAGCGCTATTATTGCAAAGCGTCTATCATCAGATCCCGGGGTATGCAATCGATGGAAATCGATGATCGAAAAGCCAATCGATATCAATCGATGAAATTAGTTAATTGGTATCGATTGGTATCGCTCAATCGATGATCAATCGATAACCACAAAAACCGTTCATCGATTGCTATCGATTGGCACAGCAACCTCGAACCTGTCCGATCATCCGCCATTTTTAGAAAGCCCAGGGGACGAAATTGTTAAAATAATTCCTACCCAGTCTTTTCAACGCAAAGAATATACCCCATTGCACGTGTGCTCGAATTACCCACTTGCCCGTCATCGCCTTTCCGTGTCATTATATATGTCTACGCAAGAAGTCCGGGAACGGGCTTTACTGAATATA